AGGAGCTCTTCCAGGGGATGACAGCAAAGCTGCTGTTTGAGAGGAGAGCCAGAGGCCATGTCGTTGTCATTCTTCTCTGTGTGGCAGTCTGCACTCCTTGGAAGAGCACCTGGGAGCATATATGGGACAGGAGGCGTAATAAACGTTGAAGTGATGGCCCAGTACTAGCAGGGAAAAGTATTAATGAACATGTATGGTGACAGTGGATCTCATGCCTAGCGTGGACTTGTTGCTGTTCCACTGGGGGCAGGGCAGCTCTGCTGGGGCACATTGTGCATGGTGTGATACCACAGCCAGCAGGGGAAGACTGCTGACCTATTTGTTCCTTGGGAATCTGGCTGTGGTGAGTACTGGTGTTACTCCGTGGGGTGCCTGCTGTCCCGGGTGCACTGTGAGTGCATTTAGAGTGGACTCTGCCAGTAGGACGGTGGCAGACTGAAAGATCCCACTCAGTACCAGTGATTCACAAAGCTTTGTTTCGCTCAAGATGTGTCTGAAAAGCTTCCCAGATTAAACATCTGTCCCTTTAATGCTGAAGCAGTTGTGCAAATTGGAGGCCAGAAAGAACAGAGAACAGATTTCATCTGGGCTGTTCTTTGGGGAAGGGATGGTCTGTCTGCTTAAAAAGCAGTGGGTGAGCTACACCAGCCTAGGACAATTCTTAGAGCAGGAGGTCTTGGTGCCAAAAAATTGCAAGTGTGACTGGAATCCTAGAAAAAGCAGTGATTTCTTATGAATCTGTGTTGTGTTGTCCATGGATGGCAGGTAAATTGAGAGTTGCCCTCCTGCTCCAATTGCTGGAGGAGATGGTTCAATACTTAAACCCGGAGCGGGGCTAAGACACAAACATAGTCAAATGTTGTCTGACCAGTTCGTGACAAATTCTAAGCCATTAAGGAATGCAGGGAAGATGGGAAAGTTAGTGATAGTAAAGAGTGGAATTCTAGCAAATGGGTTATGGTAAGCATTAATCACAAAAGCCTCCCAAGCAAGTTATGTCCCAGGTGGATGCCCCGTCCCTGGAGGTGTTCAAGGCCAGGTTGGATGGGGCCCTGGGCAGCCTGGTCCAGCATTGAATGAGGAGGTTGGTGGCCCTGCATGTGGCAGGGGGTTGGAGATTCATGATCCTTGGTGTCCCTTCCAGCCCTGGTGATTCTGTGATTCTATGGGTGCTGCTGAACGAACTTTGAGGTGAGAATTGTTTGCTTCCGGCTTCTCGGAGTTGCCCACCTGTGTTCCCAGTGGCAGAGCTTGCTGTTTATCTCCTTTGCACCTCCTGTGCAAGCTGGAAAATGTCACATAATTTCTAAATACTGATGTGGCTCCACGTGTTGTGAGAAACTGTAGATGCATTTCTCCTCCATTGAGTGTGCTTCCTGTGTCCTTGTGTGAGAGGGTGGAGATGAGGATACCTTGTCTGCCCAGTGGGATGCAAACCACTTCTCAGCTGTGGGTTTTGTATGGTGCCTATTGCAATGGGAAGTGGTCTGGAGCCCCTGACACAAAGAATGACTTCTGTGGGAAGAACCTGCAAAATGTGTAAGGGAGCAAGCAGTCATATAAGGACTGAGGTGAACTGCTTTTGAATGTGGCTGGGAAATCCCTGCCTTTCAGCTACTGTGTTATGTTAATATGTGAGGAAAGAAGGGGGGCTATCTGTTGATTGTTCTGCTGGCTTTGTTGTGGTGCAGTCCATAGGAAAGGAGGCAAGTCTGTACTCATGGTCCTTTGTAGACCCTTTGGCTGCAGCCCTTGACACAGTCTCCTCTAAAGGCAGTCGGCTGTGAGGATCTGCTCGCTGCTGTTGGTGGGATGGGAGGCACCCTCAGCGCTCTTGCAGGGGACCACCAAGCTGCAGGTGTCACCTCTGGGCTGTTTTCTGTGTTGCAATGAGGGCAGTGAGCATCAGAACTGTGTCTGCTCATGCACTTCTTTCTGCCACTGTAAGCCATGAGCTCCAGAAGACTTTCCAAGACTAGATCTGAATAAGAAAAAGTAAAGCGCATCTTAGCCAGTGCTTTTTTTGTCTTTATAGCAGCTACAGGGCAGGAGTGTGGGCCTTGTCTGAGCCTCGCTTCTTAGGAAGGTGAGACCAGAAATGTTCCTTACTCTTCGCTGCCCAGGCTTTTGACACAGACCAACCTGCCCTGTATTAACTTTTGCATTTCTCATCAAGATGCAACATACTTTAAATAGCATCTGCATGACTGGCTCTTCTTTTTTTTTTTTTCCTATGGAGGCTGATATACAAAGTACCTCAAGTGGCAGCTGTCACCAGTGAGGTGGCATTTTTCTTCACTGAGGCTGACAGCAGCTGTCCAGGAGAAGTATGAATGGAATGAGAATGACATCATGTTTATTCAGGAATGACATTCCCAGCCATGGATCAGTGTCAGCAATATTTTGATAAGTTTTAGAATGAGAAAACATTTCTTGAAATGTTCCCTGATTTATCCTTTGTAAAATACACAACACAAAAAATAATTGAAGAGATTGCAGCAGGACAAAGCAGGGCTTGCCTAGCATATGTTTCAATACACACTTTTATCGGTACTGGAGACAGTCTGTTGGCACTGGGGCTCACAGCATCTTTAACTCTTGTGAGCCCAAGGAGTTTTCTGAGCCTGCTTTTCTCTCTGCTCCTCCTTGCGCTGGGCCTGTCTGTAGCTGGACACGGGACAGGTTTCTTAAATATATGTGGATTGTTCAGTCCTGTGTGTAGTGTGATGACTGATGAGGATGCTTACAAGTGTTGGTTTATCCCGAAGCCTAATGAAATGTCTCAGGGAACTGAGTGCACAGCGCAGTGAATTTGAACACCTGAGTCCCAAAGGCCTGGAGATCCGTTTGACTTTGTTGTATTACTTCTTGTGAACTCTCTCACCACTATGGTACAACTTGGCTACTGCCATGGTCACACTTTCCCATCATCCGATGCCTGTTTTTAATGCCCAGGCTTTTAATTCCCTCCTTGCCAATATGCACGCAGTCGGTGCCCGCTGTCCCACCCAGTCACCCCAGCTGCTCTCCCCAGTGGGTCTGAGCAGTGCTTGAGCACGGTGGGAGCAGATCCTCATCAGGTGGGTGCTGGGAGAGCCTGGGCCTGCACCACAGCGGGAGCTGCTGCCAGCTTTGTTGTGGCTCTGTGGCATCCGCTGCCAGCTGGGTGCCGGCGGGCTGCAGAGACAGTCCTGGGGTAGCAGCCTGTGGGGCGCTGACTTCCCATCGGTCAGGTGCTGCTGTGCGTGCTGACGGATCACAGAGTCTGAATTTTCCTTCTGTCTGTGACATTTGGAGATGTGTGTCTGTCTGTCTAGCGGGGCACGAAGCGCAGGGACGTGTGATGGTGACCTCACTGCAATGAATGCTGCGGAGTGAGCTCGGCCAGCACCACAGCCGTGTGCAGGCTGCTGTTAACTTCATAGCTCGTTGTGTATTTGCTCAGTTGTGATGGCCCATTCGTTCTCCCTCCTGCCTCCAGCCTTGGCTCTCTCATGGTATCACATTCAGCTGAGTTATATTTAATTTGAGTTCAACAGAAGGGCTTATTTAAATATAAACCATGTGAGTGACAGCGCACGGCTCGGTGCGCACGGAGATGCTGTGTGGCAGAGGCTGATGCTGGGGCAGAAGGCCTCAGAAATGCCCTGCTGCCCTGCCCTGCCTGTCTGCAGCTCTCAGGGCTGTGAGGTCATTCTGGAGGTCTGCATGGTGCAGGGGGAGCTGTGCCAGCTGCTTCCCTTTGCATCCTGATTCTTTGTGGTATGCTGGTTGCTGCCATCAGGCTAGGAAGCAAGCAGGAGCTGGCAGCTCTGTGTCCCTGAACACGTGGGCAGATGAACTCTGCAATAATTTAAAAGGAGTCTTGGTGGTGTAGTTTGGTTCCTGGGTATCTCCCAAACCATCCTCTCCAGGAAGGTATAAAGGTATTTTTTTATTTATCTACAGCTATTCATCTGTACTGACCAGTCTGGCCTCAGCAGAGGCGTGTGGCCATCAGCTGGGCTCTTCCAGCCAGGCTGTGTTGTGTCTGCTGGAGTGCCACTGCAGCACAGCTTGTGCAGGGGTTGGAAAAGAGCAAAGAAGGTGGGAAAAAGCTGCAGCTTCGTGATCACTGAGTAAGGACTGTGATCACTGCATAAAGACGTGCTCCTCCACATGGAAACATCTTACGCTGGGTGCAGAGGAAGCAACCGCTTCATCTCTGCGAGCTGTCCGATTCTGGGAAACAGATTCCTTGGTTGATTGCTTTACAACCACATTCTAAACATTTTAAACAATTTATGCCTTTAAACTGTATGTTTCTCTCCCTCAGAACTTGCTACTCTGCAGTGTTCCACAGATCTTGTTTATAACACGTTCATCTAAAATTATCTCAGTGCACACAGCACCCTCCTATAGAACAGATGCTATGTAACCTGCAGTTCTGTTTTGATCTCAAATCAACGTGTTTAAGCTACTTGTGTGAATTATAAATTGAAACTAAACTAAGAAAATGAAATTGTTGTGTTTTTTGCCATGATGCTTCTGCAGTTCAATAGTTCTTTTCATTTTAGAGTGCCTTTCTGGTGTGACACTCGCAGCTGCTATTTCAGGTTTCACTATTTTTGTATTTAAGGAGTTTCTGGGTTATCTTAAAATAATCTCTAAAAATTAACCTTTCCCAGCTACATTACTGAACTTTTCCTGAGTGTCTACTGGATTTGTTTTTGCATCGCTTCTGAATTTAGATGAGATTTATATACAAGAGACATTTTCCTTTGTAATTAGCCTACTTGTGTGTCTTCGTGCATCTTGAAAGGATGGCTAAGTATCTCAGGAGATTATCACTTGCATCCCGGGGCTGTTTCATATCTAAATCACTGGTTATCATCCTCAGATAATTATTCCTATTTATTTACTATTTATATTACAGTAATTCCTAAAGGAATCTCCCAGGTTGGGGCCCAGAGTGCTAGATGCTGTAGGTGCATGAATAAGATATGCAGCTGCAAATACCCCATGTTGCTCTAAGATTAAGGTTATGTTTTGCAGTGCCAGCAGGACTCTTCTGACCCCTCTAAGCAGAGGAGGCTGAGGATGGATGCAGGCTGGAACCCAGCATATTTTTGCTTTTAGAAAGAGATTCAGGTTTCATATTCTGGGCAAAACAGGCTGGGGCCAGGGATTTTACTGCTGCTGTCTGTGTGACGAAAAATGGACTTCATGATCTGGAGCTGCCTGGTTTGGTCCTGTACACACTGCTGGCTTTGCAGACCAATCAAGATGCAGTTTTATCCTCTTGTGGAGCCCTGCAGAAGCCCTCTGTTTTAGCACTGGACCTTCATTTCTGAAGTCTGAAAACATTTCAGCATCTTAAGTTCTCTTGTTTTGGTGAGATGGGGAGAAACTGATTTCTCAGAACCTCCTGATCAGAATGGAGCTGGTACCTTTTTCACTGCCCTTCAAAAAATTTTCTGGACAAAAACGTTTCTTTCTAGCAATACTTCACATATATTTCTGAGACTGAAAAACTGAAGCTGGGATTGCTTCAGAACAGAAGCATCAGATCCACTTTCAGTGTCTTGCCGTAGGAAAGCTAGGAGTCACAAATGTGAGTGAGCCAGTGGCAGCAGTAAGGAAACTTTGGACTGAGATTCCCCCAGACCTGAGGTACTGTGAATTATTTGTCTCATCCTGGCCCTGCTGGGTCCCCAGATTGTCTGTCCTCAGCCTGGTGCTCCTTCTTGAGATTTGAGAGAATCACATCTCCTTCCTCCTCGCCCCTCCTGCTGCTCAGGACACAGCAGCTCCGTGCTGCAGTCTGGGCACTGGAAGAGACTCGTGTGTGCAGCTCAGTGCGAACAGACTGGGGGAGAAGGTGGGTTAGGAGGAGAGAGAACATCTGCAATCCGTGGGAGAACTATAGAAGAAAGTAATGATGTTGCGGCCAGCGAGGTGGAACAACCCAGGTACAAGGAGGCACCAGGCTGGAGCCTGCTGCTGGCACAGCATGAACAGATGGTGCCGACAGGCAGGAAGGCGAAGGTGTCAGCTCTGCCAGGGCTCCCTGAATCCACTGACATGAAGTGCAGGGCCACAGCCAGCTGTGGGGTCATCGTCCCTCCCCGGGGTGGACGGCTGTGCCCAGCACACCAGCCCCGACCTCTGGGCAGGGGGGGAGGCAGGTGGGCCCTCACCGTGCAGCAGTGCGCTCGGCTGCAGCTCTGCTCGGAGGACGGAAGCGGAGGGCTTGGTGGTGGGAGGCACCAGCAGTGCAGCAGGGTGAACAGAAAGCTGCTTCTGCATCAGCACACGCATCTCCAGAACGACTGTGCCTGGCTGAGCAGGACCTGCGTTTTCCTGGTGGCCATTGTTTAATTAGGCTGTTGTTGATGCTGACACTGTGTATTTTCTTTGCTCTATCTCCTTTCTTTCTTTATTATTTCCTACTTTGGTTTGATGTTGTTGGTATATAAAATTTAAAGAGCTCTAAATTTTTTTAAAGGCCCCTAAAGGGAACGGTGCGTTTTGTGTTAAAGTCATTACATGAACACCTGTGAACCGTTGAGTTTAATTGGGCTACAGCTGCTGGGGAGCGAGTGGGGATTTATTGGTTTGATCGGCTGTCTTCAGGCTGTGGCGCGTTGTCAGGCACTGCCCTTCTAACTTGTCTGCTTAAACAGGAGCCACACGTACACATTAGCTGGCTGTGGGCACTGTGGATCCTAGGGATGGGGCTGTGATGGCACAGTAATGGTGTGTGGCCATGTGAGGGCACAGTGGCAGCCAGCAGGGAGCACAGGAGCTGCATCAGTGAGGGGACAGCAGCCAGCTGTGGGTGTGCGGGACCTGCTGGGTCGGGGATGTGACTGGGCAGGGGCGGAGCAGAGGAGAAGCGTGAAAACAAGGCCTGGTCTGAAACAGCATGGTCAGCTCTGGAGGTCATGTAAAAAACAGCTCCATTAAGGATGCAGCCAGTTAGAAAGACAGCAATAAGCCCGCATGCATCCTCTCACTAAGAAGATGGATCCCATGCACAAATAGTTGGTGCTTTTTTGCAGGTTGCAAGGGCACCATGTGCTTATCAGAGCTGGAGAGGTGGAATGGGGAAACCTGCATCGTACCAGTGGTGGAGACAGACTGTGCCCAGTCCTTCTGCGCCCCCCTCCTCGCCCACGTGGGAGGCAGTGGCTGGGTGATGCTTACCTGGCTGCACCCTGGGGCCAGGAGCCTGCTGAGCTCTGCAGCATCTGGTGGGCGGCTGAGCGCTGTGCCCATCCCTGCGTGTGAGAGCTGCCCGCCTCAGGTGAGTGCTGTGATGAGGCTGATCCTCTCTCTCTGCCAGTCTTCTGCGACTCAACCTTGTGCAAACATCCAGACCCTCAGTGGCTCCGTGGGACCCGCTGACTCTATTGTTGTGAGTCCCTTCCCTACCAGTGTCTGGGAGGGCTGTGGTCGGAGATGTCTCTGCGCCGTGCCTCAGGGGAGGGGGGAGGGTAAGAAAATTCCTTTTGATTCTTTTTTTTTCTGTTGTTTTCACACCATTAGGAAATAATTAACCTCCTTAGTGAAAGCATGTCTCCTTTGCACCTGAGTAGGAAAACCTTAAAATATACATACAATACTTTTAACGCTAAGCTTAAATTATGCAGTTGCTGCATTTTGATGATAAATATGCAGATGAGAAGATTTCTGCCTCTTTTATCTTGTGATTCTAACTCTGTCTAAAAACAGATTGTCGCAGCCACCCTAATTCTGAGAAAAACAGCCTTTTGTGCATTGAAAAGCCAAAACAAGCAAGTCTGATGATCAGATCTTCTCTTCCTGGCTGGCATATGTCTGCCATGCTAGTGAAGGAATCACTTATCTTTTGTGGCGATGGCAGTTGGTGCCATCAATTCCTGTCAGCTGGGAAAAGGGATGGGAAGCCAAATTCACACACTGGTGATTAATTCTGGAAGCTCACAAGAAGAAAGACATCGTGAATACCGCTGGAAAACTCTGAAATTGCAGCGGAATGGGCAGAGTAGATGCGTTATGCCCAGGTTGCATTGGGTAACTGTTGTCTTTCTGCAGCACAGGACAGCCCTGAGCAGAGATCCACTCAGACCAACTCCTGATGGTAGACGTTCTGGCCAGGCTGGCCTGAGCTGAGTGTGCTGCAGGTGTTGAGGAAGGAAGGCTGCTGATCTGGTCAATAGCATATCTCATCCTGTGCCTCTGCTTACTGCTTGCCTTTGGTTTTGCAGGTGACACTTTCCTTGGAAGCCACGACTGCTTTGGGCACTTTGAGGATGGGCATGGCATTTAAGAAGTAGCCTGTTTTGTTCCTACTATTTATTTCTCCCCTGGTCTCTCTTGCTTATTCTCATATATACGTGCATGCAACCACTTTGTCTCCAAAGCATAATTGCCTATTGCCCTGCCTGTTGCAAATGGGCTGCCCCACTGACCATTGTGCCCTTTACAGTGTTTGCTGAATACTCAAGGTCAGGAAACAAAGCTGTTGAGGGAGTCAGGCTAGCCTCTCAGCTACAAGAGACAACAAAACCTTGTGCTTGCCTAGCAATCCAGAGCTTGTATCTGCCAAGCAGCTCTTGAGCTTTGGTTAAAAATAAAGAAAGGACTCTTGGGTTCACCTCTCCAGGCAGTGGCTGGGAACAAGCTGCTGCTGCTGCCCCGAGTGTGACTGAGCTGCACTGCGTGAGGCATCGGCATCTTTTTGCTCTGCTCGTTTCTGAAATAGTCTTCATGAGAGCATCAATTTCTCCTAAGTTTTGTCTTTTTTTCTGACTTTGCTGAGGGTCATTACCTCCCAAATACATATTCTGAAACTTGAGTTACTGAACGTGGCAGAAAGTACATGGAAACGGTTTCTGTTCAGATGCTGTGGTTTTGTGCTTTTGAGTCTTTCTGAACTTCATGGCATCCTCTCTGGTGCTGCTGATGACATGCAAGAGCAAGTTGCTGTGTCCACGTCAGCCGTTCGCCTTTTCCTGAGCGAACTCCAGGCACGTGTGTGGGCTCCTCTCAGGCCATCCGCTGGTGCCGGTGCTGTGCTGTGAGCAGTGGCAGAGCAGGGAGAGAGCCTATTGCTTGGCTAGACCCTCCTCCTTCCCCTTCACTGCACGTCTCTGACAGATTGTAGATGAGGGTAAGAAATTTGGCAAAGCGTAATTAATAATACTGAGCAGATCTGGAGTTTGGAAGTCCTGGCTCCCATCACCTCCCCTCACCGCTGCGCAGCCCAGCGCATTTCTCTGGGCACCTGTCAGATCAGCGCCGAAAACACTGCTTAAACCTTACATTTAATCAGGCAGTCAGTGGAGACGCTTCGGAGTTTGGATATAACAGAATTTACATAGAAGATGGCCTCTGGTGGAAGTTAATTGGCCCTGCGTTTCCTCTGCAGAAAACCCCCACTGTAAAATAGCAGTTTGCAAGAGAGCAGCATTAAATCAAAGAACTGTAGAAAGAAATCGCGCTGTCTGCGAGGATTGTGAAACTTTGTTCCCAGACAGTATAACTTCTCGTTTGACCTGTACATATCCCACAGTCAAACATGAAGGGCTTTGGACTCTAATACCAGCTGTGGGAATGTGATCCCTTGGCTAGTTTGCAGCTGTTCAGCACTCTCTCAAGATACGCTGGAATTTCTAAGTTCAATTGAACAAGGCAGTGAAAATAAGTGTGGAGGGTTTTAATATCGATCTATGAAGATTATGATGTTCATAGGCAAATAAACACTTTTGTGTTATGTCTTCTTGCACAAAGGGCACAGCGTAACATACTTTTCTTTTAGACTGTGGAAAACTGTAGTGGGAAAGAACAGAAGGCAGGTCCCCGTGGCAGCACGGCGTGCGTCTGCACACACATGTCTGTCAGTCTTCTGCAAATGGTTGAAGACACTCTGCAAACAAAGTGGTTGTTGAGCTGTGCGTATGGGAGAGTTCTTACAGTCATACAGATGCAGCCCGTGGAAAGCAATGGGCTGCACAGTCCATACAGCCTCACTCCTAGAAGTGTGTTTTCTGATCTTTGGAGACCCCCCCGCCATTTTAGGCTGTTGGGTAAGGAGGTGAGTCAGCCACGTTAGGGTCCTTTTCATCCCATTTCATTGTGTTAAGCAGGCAGTAGCACTGGAACTGCACAGCCCATCTCAGTGCTAACTCAACAGCACTGCTTATTTCTCCGTCTCTTTAAAACCTGTGTAAAAGTGAACCTGCTGGGGCTGTGCATTAGTTTGCTTTAGAGTCCACAAGCGGTTCCTTTCCCAAGAAGGCCAGCACATCACTGCTCTGGCCGGTACAAAGTAGAGCTGTAGGAGATTCTGTAGAGAATCTGCCATTTTTAATGATTTTCTTGTTCTTCCTTCATATAAGAGATCTGTCCAAAGAGCAGTGCTCATAGAGGCGTGTTTCCCTGGGGGTCTGTGAAGTGATTCCTCTTCTTAGCGCCCTGATCTGGTATCTCCTTCTCTGTGTCATGAGTCCAGCATGTTTAGCATATTACACGTTTTGTTTGAATTGAATTGGTATTTCTGCAACTGTATCATGTGATCACCAACATTTAAGTGGTTGTTCCAGGATTAATAGTTCTTTCTCTGCTTTTTGGACTGTAGCTTCCTTTTGCAGGAGGGGCAGGAAATCACATCCTGTGCTTTACACTCACAGCCTTGGCTTTTACCCAGAGGAGAGCAGGATTTAGTGCTGCTGATGCTTGTATCTTGCTCAGATTGTTCATAGTGACAGGAGATGAGCTGTCGTGCAGGAGGGCGGGGAGTCCCTGAGACCCCAGGAACTGAGGCGCTCTGACTGAGCCCTGCTGACTTCAGGCTCGCTGTGGCTTTCGGAGCAGGGACGGCATTTCCTAAATATGAGTGTGGAGTGCAGCCAGTTTGTACACAGCTGGGGCATGGCAGTCCCAGGGCACCATCCATGCTGAAGGGTGTGGGTTTGGGAATGCTGCCCAACCACTGGCTGTGCCCACACGCAGCTCCCAGCAGCCGCTGTGCAGGGTTTCTGGGTGGCAGACCTGCAGGCAGTGAGCTGCCTATCAGACTGGGCTATAGGTACATCAGCATCCTTCTGACACTGAGTCTGACATATGTTTGTGTCTCTTTGGCCTCCGAAGCTGAAACAGAACTGAAGAGGCCCCTCTTGTTTATTGCTCAAGAGACTGCAAGCATTTCTTCACTCTTACCATTGCTGCTTGTCACTTAGCAAGGCCCTGCAGGCTCTCCCTGGCAAGCATCAAATACAAACTCTCCCTTCCTGCAGCCCGTGATGTCCACAGAGCACAGCTCTGCCCTTCCACGTGGCTGCTCCCAGCCACAGTTCTCTGTTTCTCAGAACCTGTTGCTGACATGAGCAGGGGGCTGTATGGGTCAGTGGAGCAGCAGGAAGCCAAGACTTGCCCCCAGTGCTTTGGCTACTGAGTGGACCTGTCTCTCTGCAACCTCAGTGGACGGTTTCAAAAGTCCTTGCTGGTTTTCCAGATTTAAATCTCTTTGACTTCTGGATTTTGGCCACGGATGGTCCCACTGCAGCATGGCTGCCAAGCACTGTCTTTGCCACGGGCTGCATTGGATGTGGCCCTTCAGCGGTTTCCTTGGAAGCAGGATATTGCAAAGCTGAGAAACTTGAAAACCAGAGAACTTAGTGAGATCATGTAAGGAACTGCAGCACAGGGCTGTTTGCCCTCTGCAAAACAGAGTGGGGCACGCAGTGCTACAGGCGGACGGTGTTTGGGTGCTGGTGCGCACTCTTAGGTTAACCTGATGAAATGCAACAGGGTAGAGAGGAAATGAAAGATTTTGTACAAACTATAGGGGCAACATATGGCAGACTGGAGATGGGGAGACCTTGGAGAGCAGTTCGTGGCCACAAAGATTCTCAGCCTGTTTTACAGCACAGCTGCTCTGAACAAAAGAGCCTGTCTAGATCGCTCTTGTGTTAGCTAATGCTGGTGACAGGAAGTTTGGAAAATGTCTGAAATATTGCTCGTTAAATGGGCAAATGCAGCACTCAGGTTTGAAACGTACTGATCGAATGTGTTGGTCATAACGGTCACGGTTATGAGATGTGTCAACAATTTAACAGAGTGGGTGCGAAAGCAGGGAACAGTGGGACCAGAAGAGCAGAGCAAGCACTGTGTTCTGCTTAGGGCTGCACGCTTCCCTTGCAGGAGAAATTTGTCCAGCTTGTGTGAATGAAATTAAAAAGGCAGAGCAGAGAGGGTATGTGGTTGAGCCACCCAAATGGACTTCTGAGTGCCCCAGTTTGGGTTTTTTGCAGAGAGTCAATGAAAATCTCTTTTTTCTGGAGCTGAGTTCACAGCTGCAAGCAGCAGATGGTTCCATGAGTCTCATGAGCAGGGAACACCCTGACTTTGGTGATCAACAGATCTAATGAGTGAATGTGGTTCAGAACTGGTGGTGCAAAATTTCTTAATAAATCATGTGAAAGTGTAATCTGGGAAATAATATTGAGAGTTCTTCTGATGAATGGCTCTGCAGGTACACAAGCAGGGATCAGTAGGATCTCTGTTTTTATAGATTTAGGCTGGATTTGCAGAGGGGCATGAAGGAATATCATCAATCAGGCAAGTATTTTCAATAATGCTTGTGAGTTTATATTCTTGCTTGGCATTCTTAAAATAACCGCGGATGGGAGGAATATTTGAGTCTGGGTTACACAGCAACTGCTGCTGCTTCGAGTACAGGGAGCAGCGCTGCTGTAGGGGAGGCAGTGAACTTCTGAAACTGGCCTACAAAGGAAGATAGTTTTGATGGACTCTTTGTGACAGGCGTACGGTAAGTTCGCTGCCTGGAGTTGGTCTTGCCCTGCTCGGCAGCACGGTGAGGTCTCTTGGACGGCAAACAAAAGCCTGTCTGTTTCCCGTTCTTGAAGTAAGGGATGATTCCCCTTCCAGCTGAACAGTAAGAGCAGAGCTTTCTGTACAGTTGCTGTCACATTGCTGCCTGTGTATTTCTGCAGGCACACGGCGATTCTGAGCATTCGGTCTCTGGGTGTGGAGGCAGGAGCTCCTTCAGCAGCACTGTTGAAATTTCGGCTCCATGAGACCCATTTGTTTCAGAAGCTGCGCGTACAGCAACGCCCACTGCTGTGACTCCAGCGCCTGGAAAGGACTCCTGCTCAGAAAAATTACCGGCACGTAATGAGTGGGGCTGCCTTAGCCGGGCTGGCTTTGATCTTTGCTCAAGAACTGGTTTAGGATAATAACGGGCTGACATAAAATACAAATGGCCACTTTGTGAGACAAAGATGATTGCTTGTGTAGAGCTTTGGCTACTGTGCAATTCATTTCTTTTCACAGCCGTGCAGCTAATACCTAAGAGTCATTTGCAAGATATTTCTGATCTACATAGTGGCCCCACCTTTCCTGCAGCTGCCAGTGGAAAGCCAGGTCGGCTGGGGGCTTACAGTGATAGCAATGAATAATACATGATCTGCAATCTGGGCTCCCTTTGCCGTGCTGTTCGCAGGCTGCATCTTTTTCTGGCTTAAGCAATCGCCGTTTCAGTGGCTGTGCTGGAATGTGGTTGTGTTCCTCCTGCGGTAACCGTGCAGGGATGGCCGGAGCCGCGTGTGGGTTCCTGGGGATGGGTTATGGCTGTTGGAAGTGCTCTGTGCTGCTCATCCTCGTGCAGCGTGGTGGTGGGGCAGAAATATACGAAGGAACTGAACTTGGTGGAGGAGCAAGCTGTGTTTCTCTGTGTTTGTTTTTTTTCTTTTTCTTTTTTTCAACCCTGTTGGCTTTTGGCTCTCTCGATTTCACAGCTCTCGGGGAACCCGTTACAGTCCGTAGCGTTTCGTTTGGGCTGTGAGTTTGCCATCTAGCGGCTGCTCTGTTTGTCAGGGAGCTCCGGCCGGCCCACGGCCTCAGGGCTGTGCTGTGCGGGATGGGGATGGGCTGTGCTGGGCTGTGCTGGGCTGTGCTGGGCTGTGCGGTGCTCAGAACAGCTCTGGCATTCCGAGCATCGTTCTGCATCGTGTGTGTGCTTCTATGGGAGCAGGGAGGAGCAGATGGGCAAAAAGCAGGTAGAAGTATGGTGAGAAAGCACTGCAGTAGCTTCTTCTGCCTCCTTCTCCTCCCAGGTTTGGCAGAAGCAGGCTTGGTTGTGTTTGCTGTGCCGGATACCAGGAGAAATGACGTGCTGCTCCATGCATGCCTGCTCTGTGCCTTTCTCCTCCATGATCTCATGTATGAATCAAAGCTTGCCTACAGGTGGTGATCGAGCCCCAAAGGCTTATCACTTACCAAGCAACTGTCTGCAATTATTTGTTTGTCCTCAGTAGCCAGCTTAGTTACTTATTGATATCTCATGTTTGTCTCCCCATGTTATAATGAAAAGGAAGAGATAAAAGCCCCGTTTCTGCTTGAAGTGCCAAATTAGCTAAGGATGGTGACACTGCTACTATTTTCTCATGTGCTCGGATAGACACTCACACCGTTGCTCCTTATAGGCAGGGGTAGCTTGTTACCTGGGACGAGGCTGCCTGTACTGCATGAGCTGCAAGCCAGGAGCATGTGAAATATTTACTAGGCAGTTAAAATACTGGAGATGCTGCCTTGCCAGATCAGATGTCACACCAGGAGTCAGCGTGAAGGAAGCAGTTCTCCAGGGTGGCTGTGGTGGAGCCTAAAGCAATCAGCAAGGCCAAGGGTTGGCTTTCAGGAGGCACTTCCTGAAGCATTTGTAAAACCTCCTGAAAGAGTCAGTGCCATCCTCTGATCTGGGGCTGCATGCGCATGAGTTCAGCGGTACCTCTGGGTCTGGTGATGTCGGCCAGGAGCAGCTCTTGGCAGAGCAGTGAATGTGCACGGGTGGCACTCACCTACCTCAGCATCTCCTGGGAGGCGGTGGGACTGGGCCCTTCCTCCTGCTTTTCAGTAGCCACTGTGCTTTAGAGGGTGAGAAAAGAGTCAGCCAAGGCCCTGAACCCATTGCACTGGACAAAAGGAGGGCGCTTCAGGTGCCCTCCGAGTCTCTGTCACGGGTGGCTGGTTGAGAGCTGTTTGTAGATGGAGGGGGAACTTGCTGATCTCCGATGCACAGCAGGATATGGATTTTTGGCAATATATAAGATGCCTGTTCTTTTTAGTAGCAACATTAAGGCAGATATCCTTGAGACACTAACTTGGACCATGTGCTTCCCTTTCCTTGCCTTCCTCTGCAGCAAAAAGAAACAGCTGTTGAAATATTTTTAGTTATAATCTAGTGGATATGAAAAAAAACCATGTGCCTGTGCCTTGCTGTCTTTATGGCTGTGCCTACAGCCAGACCACCGGCACTGGGAGCCCATCAGGCGGCAGGAGGCGGAGGGACGGTGCCCAGCCACCTGTGGCTCGCAGGCAGCAGTAGGGGTGGCTCAGGAGGAGCTGCCTGCAGCTTCCAGGGCAGCAGAGACAGGACTGTGGCTTCTGCTGGGCCTGGGCAGGTGGTTGGATGGTGGCCCCTGAGCACCTCTTCCTGCCGCTTCCCTTCCCGGCCACCGCAGCTCTGCAGGGTCCCATCGTGCCTTCTGCTTGCACAGGTTTTTAGTTAGGTTTTAGGGTCCAGCTGCAAATCACAGTGCCTGCAGTTTATAACCTGCAGGGATTTTTTTTTTTGTATGTATGTGTGTTAAACTGTTGTAAAATGATGTCCACAGATACTCTGAGCAGACCACAGCATTCTGATGGAAGCCAGGGCTTGAATCAAAACCACCTCATTTCCCCCCAAACGCTGTGTCTCAATAGACTTGCCTGGATCCCATTAGAAATGTGTTAATCGGAGAAGAATGACACACATCTCTGCTCTGAGGTATGTATAAATTTGGTGTGACATTGAAGGAGACCCTGGAGGTGGGATGCCTGCACCGCTGCTGCCAGCATGTGGCTGAGTCCCTCCTTAACTCCAGCACTGATGATGTCCTCCTCCCACGGCTCCCATAGTTTTCTTGTCCTGAGGCTGTCCCAGTAGAGGGCATTTAGTTTCTTTTGCTTGGCTTCGCGGTGTGAAAGCAATAGTTGAGCTTTCTCTCCTAACAGAGGAGTAACTTTTTATTTTTTCCCCTGGCAAGAGGAAAAGTGATAATGGAAAGAAGTTTTCTGATCTCTTCCTGAAGTGTGGCACGGTCACACGGCAAGGCCTGTTTTGTATAGAAGGCATCAGCAGGTGGTACAGTTGCGTGCAGCATCCGCGACATTTCCGTACGGATATGAGAGAACTGTCAGCCCAGGGAGGAGTTGGCTCTGCGTGGCCCAGGGAGGTCGAGGTCAGCGCTCTCCTTGGCCACATTCCCAGGACAGGGCTTGTGGGACCCCGGCACCCAGGGCAGCCTGCGCTGACGGGAAGAGGCTCGCGGGTGTCCTGTGGGTACGTGACTAAGCGCTGTGGTATTTGGTGGGGCTTTACTTCCAGATGTTGAGAGAAACAGAGTTTGGTGCAATTTAAGCTCTCATTTTAGAAAATATATTTCTAATCTTTGTGGTTACGTGAGAACTTTTTAAAACATGAAATGAATGCAGCCTGCTGGCTCAGAGACCAGAAAGCAAAAAGGAGGAGAAATGGAAGTCTCTCTGCACTGTGCCAGGAGCGCTGCGGTCGTCGGGGCGCTGACGGATGGGCTGCGTGCTGCCCTGCTCACTGCAGGGCTCAGGGCACGGCGCTCCCCTCTGACGGTGCCGCTGTCTGAGCGCAGCCCCGCTGCTGTGGCAGCCGCAGCCCTGGGAGGACCATCGTGGGGTGCAGCGCTGCAGCAGCCGTTTAAGATGTACTCTGCGGATTCATCAACTTGTGCTTTAATTCTTGGTGCTCACAGCTTTAACTTTTAAAACTCTGCTACTTTATAATCTCCACCTCTGAGATCCCTGTTATCCCCGTTGTGCAATTACTGTGGATCGGAGTTGAATTTATTTTTACCCTCTTGTTTTTCCCTTCGCTGCAATGCCTCTGGGAGTGAATTCTGGGAAGAATCTGCTTTGGTTTTAGGCTGTGTGGTGCCGCCTCCTCTCCCATTATCACTCCCTGCTTTCAATGGCCCCATTGTGCTGTCGGTGCCGGCACTTTGCTTGGTTTCAAGCATGGGGAAGAAGTTGCTCCATCCCGGGGCTTTCTCCCTTTGCTCAGCAGTGCTCTCCTGCTCTGGCTGCACAGGCAGGGCAGGTGGAGCGGCCACAGGAAGGATTTGTGGTGTCATTGCGTTGCAAATGGGATTTCTTTCAGGGCTGTTTTCTTGTGAAACCATTGGCTTCTGCCACTGCTTGAGGAAGGATGCAAAAAAACATTCCGGTGATGCAAAAAAATCTTTTAAAGTAGAATTATTTTTACATAAATACTTTCTGACTGCATCAAACCCTGTCCACTGTGCATTCCTCAGGCTTTATTGAATCCCAGTCAATTTCCTTCATCTTTGTCTCATTTCTCTTCAAAGTTGTCTCATCTCGTCTCCGTGATATTTGTGTTGCTGTCCTTTCTGCAGACCCGCATCTGCACTTCAGCCCTGGTGAGAGATTACCGGCCCCACACCGGAGGTGTCCGTGGCTGCTGCACACCGGGTGCTGCCCCATGCAGTCCCTGTTCAGGCTGACAGCACGAGGCAGCTGCTCTCCTGTGCGGGGCAGCCCTTTTCTATGCGCCCCGTTGTTTCCCAAAGGAAGTAAAATCCCCCCGGCCAAACTGCATGCCCTGCTGACATTTCCCCCAGGTCTTTTCCTTTCCTCTCCCCTTTTTGCCCAGCTCTCAGCTATGCTGCTCAGTCCTTTCTTTGCTGCTGGTTGCCCACGGCACACTGTTAGCAGTGCGGGCTGTGGGGGTTTGTGTGGCGCAGTACGTTCACCTCTGATGAATATTTTCGATCCCAACGTGAGCACCTGGCTAATGAGCTGTGGTTCCAGTGCTCGCTGCAGAAATGTTGCAAACATAATGGGGACAATATTTGCTTAAAATTTGTTTTGAACATTTATGGCATTTTTTTCTTAGTTTGCGCAGTGGGTTTTTTTTTTTTTCCTGCATCTTATTTATTTTGGACTGTGAAACTATTCTAGTTATTTCCCTTTTTTTTTTTTTTGTTTTGTTTTGAATACATTTCCCTTTGCTGTTCTGCAGACAGAATGACACCACGGGCTGTCATCTTTACTTCCTGGACATATTGTATTATTAATGCTTTTTAAAACTTCTTTTTATCAGTTGTATGATTAGAAAAGCTTGAATTTTGAGTCTACAGCCTCCCTTCAGAAACAGGGTGTTAATTGCTTGTGACCGGTGTGCACGGTGTGGAAGTGGAGCGTGGGGCTGGCTGGGGAGTTCCCTGCTGGTGCAGGAACCCGGCCCTGCTCAGCACTGCCCGTCTCTGCCTGGGGTCCAGGGGAACCTTTCCCCCCTCCTGCCCCGAGGCAGTGCTGCTGTCAGCCAGGTCTGTGCCCCGTGCCCATGCGGCAGCTCCTGTCCCCCTGACGGCTCTCACGGAGCGGTTCTCAGCCTGGCCCATGCGATGGGTGAATCCAGGTCAGAGAGCACGGTCCCTTCACATCTGCTCGGTGCTTGCTGCTGACATTTTCATTCAGCCTGTCGGTACTGGGCAGCGATGGAGGTCTATGAAGGGGGGACAGAAACATCTTTCTGCTGGGGAGGACAATGGCAGGACCTCCCAGTAACTGCAGCTGTGTCGGGGCTCTGAATACAACAGGCCACTCTTGGCAGTGCTACTGAGGTCTGGCTCTTGGAAAGCAGCACTGTGATTCAGCTGTCACTCAGCTCCCAGCAAAGGCAGCTTTGAAAAGGCGCCTCTGCTGCTCTCCTGGAGTAGCAAATATTTCCTAGGCCTCTGCTGCTGAATGGGAGAGATTGCCATTGTCCTCCGTCCCCTCTCAGGCTTGCTGGGCTTGCTATAAATGGGCCTTTTGCAAGGGAACAATAAGCTCAGCGAAGGGTCCAGGTTGCACATGTCTGAGCAGTGAGAACACTCGAGCACTTTTTCATTGGCTCCCAAGATGTGAAAAGCTGGGCAGCGAGAGCAGGTTTATTTTCCAGCCACAGCTGTGGGTTTGTTTTCTCTCTCAGGTTGCTCTGCTCTGGGTGTACATCTGCGCGTTTCAGCTCATTTCCTAGAAAATGTCTTCACCTCAACGTTTCCTTTGGCCTCAGAAATCCGTTTCCTGCTGTAGTTAGAGCTGTGTGATGTGTTTGCAGCAGAACCGCAGCCAGGTGGGACCGCCTGCTTTCACATCTCTGCTGTGACGAACTTGGGCTCGGCTTTGGTAGAGTAGCCCCAAACTCGCATCGCTTTGTGGCTTTGTGGAAAACCACATGCACCTCTCTGATTCAAACCCGACTGAAAAGCCATGCGTGGCTCGGGCTGAGGCTCACAGTGATTCTGGGGTTAATTCAGGCTGAAGGTGATGCTCCTCAGCAATCTGTATGGAGGCAAAAGGTAACATTTTCTGCCTGAACCACTGCAGCTGCAGAACATTTTCTGTTTTTTCTTTGACCTTGTCATGAAACTTCCAGTGTCACAGAATTAGATGCTGCATTTTGGGTATGACTGATATTATTCCTGTTCTCCTCCAGAAAATGAGCCATAGTGATCTTTGGGTCACTTTTAAACATCAGTGTAAGTTATTAAACCCCAGCCTGATCCCAAGTGTAGAATAATGTATTCACTTCCTCCACCTCTAACCTGTAACTCACTTTCTAGGGGGTCTTTCAGCAGTGATCTGTGTAGAAATGATGCAAGACCAAGGATCAGCATTCAGGGACTTGGAGCCTTCTTGCTCCCATGAGGGCAGCTGACATTGTTTGCTTTGTTTTTCTGACACTGCATGGATAGAGAAGAGGGCACTGCTCAATGTATGTGATCTCTGCTTACATATGCCTACAAATTAATGCTGGCTTTTATTTTAAAATGCTATCAGAAAAATGCTATTGGAAAAAACAGTTCTTTGTTCTTTTCAGATATTCTGTGGTCTGATTTTCCTCCTGTGCTGGTGTTACTCTGCTGCAATTTGCATCGGAGCTTTTCCTGATTTAGGCTTGAGTGAAAGGAGAACCAACCGCAGCCAGGCTGCAGGTCCAGGAGCTCTGTGCTGTGGCTCGTCCTCCAAATGCCAGTGAGGAAAATCTCTTTGGAAGTTTCTGCCTTGCTCATCCCATTTACTGAAACCAAATTTCAAGAAGCTAATCGGGCAGAGAGTGCAAAGGATGAAACATTAGAAATCAAATTAATGAAGCTGAATCACCAATTTGTGACCTAGAAGACCATTAGGAGTGGTCAGAATTAATTAACTCCTCTTTGCAATGCTTCAGAGGGAGGCAGTTAGCCAGGCGTGGGGACCTGAAGGACATCGATGGGATCTGACTACCTGGAGCTGCACAGAAATGCAGCGTGCTGCTGCTGGGCCCCATATGAACTCCAGGGGAGACTGGGAAGCGCAGTTAGGAGGAGCAGAATGGAGAGCTGCCATCATCCCTTCCTGCGTCCTGCTGCTTCATGCTTATTCAGGGACATGCAGAGAAGCTGTGAAAGGCTGCCGTGCAGTCCTGCCATCTAGCACAAGAGAAGCTGTGCAGCTCCCGGTGGGCAGAGTGGACGTGCCGTATTGTGGCCTGGCAGCCTGGAGCTGGGTGCCAGCATCAGCCCGCAGCCGTGGGACGGGGACATCAGCACACAGCAGGGCAGCCTCCTGGTCCCAGAGGGCTGGCAGCCACCAGCCAGAGGTACAGGAGTGGTGACACAGGGCCCTGCTGATATGCTGCTGATTTAATCAGAACTAGACTGAGCCCTGAACTCTTTCAGAGTAAGATGGTTCATGGATCAAGCTGCGGCTTCTTTCCTTTCAAGGGTGGGAGTTTTAGACTGCTCTGGCTGATCACTGCCGAAATGAGTTGTCGTTTGCAGTAGTCAGTGATACGAAATCAGCTTATCAATTGAAGTGAACGTGAGAGGCAGTATCCAACTGAGTAATTCTGGAGAACTTTAAAGATGAGTGTTTTCATCACTGATCTTTTTGGGGCAAATATGGAATGAAGAAGATACCACTTTTTTTTTTTCACTAACCAGAACTGTGGTGTTTCTTGAGTTGATAAACTCCTTTGTGTGCTAAACAGCCCATGGGAGAAAGAAGGGAAAGAAAGATTGGTGGAGACGTGGCTCCAGGTCCTTGAATAATGCATTGTTCAGTAAATTGACTGTCCGACCTGGAAATAGTGCACTGTGTGTGATCCACATCGACATTGCTGGCTGGACAGCTTACAAAGAGGCATTTTGGAATTAATTTGATGATTATGAAAATGTCTTAGATCCTTTGCTGAAGGCTAAATAAACACAATTAAAATATTCTTAGTTTTCACTGTGCTTTGTTCAGTTCATTAAGTGTAACTAGAGCTTCCAGTTATCTGCATTTAGTTTTTCAAAAAATTGGAGGGTATTTTTAGAGCAATGTAAAGCTTATTGCTAATTACACCTGGGGGGAAATCTCATTAGGTATTCATTTGCTTTCAGAGTTTAAAACAATTCTAATGAGCTGCATTAGTTGTGATAACACTGACTGACTCTCCCTTGTCTGCTCCCCCTGGCCTGTCTGGAGCAAACAAAGCTGCTCTGGGGCCGGCAGCTCTGTGAATGTGACCTTGGTGCTCTTTGGGTGGGGGAAGCGCAGCGCCGAGGCCGAGCAGAGGGTTGGGAGCACAGCCTGCGGTGCTGCTGCCGCTTCTGCCCCAGCACTGCGGGCTTGGCCAGGCCCTGCAAGGGGCCACGCAAGCACCTGTGGCCGGGCCGAGCCAGGTGGGTGCAGCACTTGGGCTCGGAGGAATTCACAGGACCCTGCAGGAGCAGCTGCTGCCGTTGGCCATCTCTGCTGCTCGCGGTCCCTGCAGTGTGGGTTGGCAGCCGGTGCATCTGCCTGGAACAGTGCTGAGGGCACAGAGCAGCGTGGTTCTCTGTTCTGCTGGCTCCCAGAACTGCTGCTTACCGCTGTCCGGGGGTCAGAAAGGCTTCTGGGGAAAAGCCACTGCTGCGTGGATGACCTGCAGCCAGGGCCGTGACGCTGCTGAAGCTGGAGTGAAGAGCTGGCCTGCCTTTCTTAGTGTGAAGAGTGCTGCAGCAGGGCAGACAGAGCAGAACCATTTTCATTTCTCACTACATTGGTACATTTTGGATGAATTGAGAAGCTGAGAGGAATTCAGTCTTTGTGCTGAATGCATAAATTATTGGGGGCCAAGCTTTCCATCCTCCCAACAATGCCTCAAACCCAACAACTTCTGCCCAGTGTAAGTTTTGGTCTTGCTCCTTTCTGTTGTACAGATATAGCATCTTTGTCCAGGGCAGTTTGGATATATGGAGGATAAAAATTACAACTGCTCCACACAACTTACTGTAAGTAGCCCATGCAATCATTTGAATGTGTTTAAGTCAGCTCTTTCTAATCATGCAAAGCAACGCAGTGGCCTGGGAAGATACCTGTTTATAAGGCTATGTAAGCAACATAAGATATTCATCTCCTCATCTGGCATGCAAGGAGGGAAGCTGTTTGCGCGCACATATCTCTATAAATGGCATAGCAGGAAGGTGACTGTGAGCTGAGACACTCCTCTGGAGACCAAGGAGACTCAATGTGGATGTAAAGTGGCACTTTGAGACAGGTTTACTGCTGCTTCCAGGCAGAGGCTATGAATTGAGCAGCAAGATAATGGTGTAGGAGTGATCACACACATAGCAGGATATATGGGATTCTTTGGTAATTGGGGACATTTTGGCATTGGAGCTGAGCAGGATGAGAACAAGCTGGAGGAGTCTGCATGTCAGCAGGAAGGAAAGGGCTGGCAGCAAAGATGGAAGCTAATTTTGTTTTCATCTATTGGTTGTGGAGTAGAGAAGCGTAAAGAGGCAAGTAGGAATGTCAGGCTCGGCTACTGGCAGAGAATGCACCCGAGTCGCCTGGACCAAAGTTGTAAGTAGAAAGGTGGAAACCAGACTTTATTCCTCAAAGGAAAAGAGAGCACAGA